TGTGGTTGATATCCCTGATAACTTATTGTCATTGTCAGTTGTAGAGGCAAACCTGTATGTAAGACATAGGTTAAAAAACAAAAACTGTACCGTTTAATGGTTACATACCATGGATGTCAGACAACTAGTTAGAACGTTTTGACGCTGCTGAAGGTAGGGCTCTAGAATCTTGTAAGCTGGACTGGAATCCTAGCTCGAGCCTTTTTGTTTTGAGACCTTGGCAAATTATTGCTTCTCTTTGTGTTTCTATTTCCTCATCTGTTGATTAGGCCTAAAAGTGAGACCTACCTCCTAGGGTGGGATTGTTTTCTTGTGAAGAAGAAATTCGTTAATACACTTAGGGTGTACAACATAGGTGTTAGTATATCACAATAACTTAATAAATATATATGATTAGCAAATATTATTTATTAGGAAATCAAGTCACATATGTATACTTCACATGTCCCCATGTTTACTATGATAGACATGATGATACTGTAATAGACACACTGTCAACAACGTTTCTTTCATCAGCACAGAAGCCGGATAGAAAAGGAATGAGAGAGGTCTGAAGCGGCTTAGACTTCATGAGCCCAAGCCTGCCTTAGGTTTATTGGCTCATTAGCTTTATGAAGCATTTGGAAGTTCTCTATTGGATCCACTAGGGGATTTTGTAAAATGATGATGTTAACTTATTTTTCTGTTATATAAATTGTAAATGTCCTCATCAATATGAACTTTACCGAGATCAAATATATATACATGCATGCTTAGGGTATTCAATTGAAGGAGTTTCAAAAAGTTCATAGAAAGTAGAATGAAAAGGAAATGTACATTTTGAAGCCCCGTCATCTAAGTTCAGAAAATGCTTATCTATTTAAAGGACAACAATAAAAATAACTGGTCTTTCACTGCCTTTCACATTCAGAGTGTCTGCTCTGTGAGTAGAGTTCAGCACAGTACCACGGGGGTTTCAGGGAAGGAGTCAGCCATTCTCTTTACGTGCAAATATGTGTGAATGCTCTAGGCTCATTCTGGTCTCGTTTATTTATTCTTCATTGTGTGTATACTTTTTTTTCCACCTGGGAAATTTGATATTAACTTTGTGATGAGAATTTCTTAGAATTGGGTGGAAGTGATAGAACACTTGTATCTCAAGGGTTTAACCTTGAGTTCTTGTTTTGTTATTAAAAATAAATTATAGGACTCTGAAGTTGATCCTGAGAAATTCTCCTGTCGGATAGAATGTGAAAGTCCCAACAACGACCTCAACCGATTCCGCGGCTTTCTGTGAGTGATACAGAGTTACCTATGTGGCCGTGAGTGCCTTTGTGTGTCGCAATTATACTTCAATGATCAAGAGCGTTGTCTTCTTATATCCAAGTTAAATCACCAAAGGCCATGAATTTAGCTATCTATCAACTGGAGTTTCTTTTATGTTTTGATAAATGTTTGCCAATATGCAGGTTTTAAAAAAATGACAACAGCCAAAACAAAACACACAAAAACACACCTTTGTTTTAAGAAAATAAACCTTTCAGTCGTGTGAGAATTCTTAAGTGATCTCCATTTTGAGCTCCAGGCACGTTAGTTGTTTGGAGGAAGGTGTTTAGACCAGGGTTGCAGCTTTCAGTGTGGATTAAAACTCAGTGTAAGGCAATGGGTCACATCATGATCAATGGAGAAAAGGTTGAAGTTGTCAAGGATTTCGTCTTGCTTGGATCCACAATCAATGCTCCTGGAAGCAGCAATCAAGAGATCAAAATGTGTGTTGCATTACATAAATCTGCTGTTCAAGATGCCACGGTATTTCCATTGCCTCGTGCTTGGGAAAGTTGGACATTGAATAAGGAAGACCGAAGAAGATTCGATGCATTTGAATTATGGTGCTGGAACAAAATATTGAAAGAATCATGGACTGCTAAAAAGACAAACTCGTTTGTCTTGGAAGAAGTAAGGCCAGAGCCCTCTTTAGAGACAAGGATTGGAAGGCTTTGCCTTACATACTGTGGACATATTGTCAGAAGAGACCAGACCCTGGAGAAGGACATCATACTTGGAAAGTGGAGGGGCAGTGAAAACACTGGCTGCCAGAAAGGGTTCAGGCACAGGAATAATTGTTCGGATGGCACAGGACCATGCAGTGTGTCCTTCTGTGCGTAGGATCGCTGTGGTTCAGGCGGAACCCGCTTGTCAAAAGCAGAATGTGAGAAACCATGGCAGACTTAATTCTTGGGGTTTCATGTAGTCTCCACATCCTGTTTTCATAGATAGTTAGAATTTAGGGTCTTACTTAGAGGAAGGCTTTGACCCAAACCAGGGTATTTCCAGTCCCCTCAGACGGATGTGTGAAAGTTGGACAATGAGTCAGGAAGGCTGCAGGCGGAGGAACTGAACCTTTCATACACTGTTGGTGGGAAGAAAACTGGCACCAATCACTTTGGAAAACAGTTCGACAGTTTCTTAAGTAGTTAAATGTGCACCCACAATGTGATCCAGGTATTTTTTTCATAGTTGTTTGCCCAAGAGGAAAGAAGGCATTTCTCCTTAAAATAATCTCTATGTTCATGCTCATTGCTGCTTTATCAGTAGTAGTCAAAGACAATGAGCATCTCCATAAGGAGGTGAATAGATGAAAACCGTGTGGTCCAGTCACACAGTGAACCACCACCAATGAAAATAATTGACTGAATGACACACGCAACCACAAAGTAATTGTTAAATGAAAGAAATCAGGCCCCCTGGTCCCAAAAAAGAATACACAAATCTCTAGAAAAGGAGAACAAATGAATGATAACAGATTAGTAGATGGCTGACAAGAAGGAATAGAGAGGCTGGGCGGAAGGGAAAGAGGAAAATTTTGAGAACAATGGACATATTTATTATCATGATTATAGGGAGGGTTTCATAGGGGAAGTATTCAAACATCCTAATGTATTCTTTAAAATATGTGTATTTAATTAATATTAATTATTGATCCATAAAGCTGTTAAAGTTTCTAATGAGTCTGAGCTCTCAAGAAAGGAGATCTGGCATATAATGGGAACATCTTTGAGCAGCACGTGAGGAAGACAATTGGACAAGCAAGGCACTATGCCATAGCAAGAGGGAAGGGGCTCAATCCAGGTAAAGAGATAAGGTTGGAATTAAAATCTTAAAAAAGAGCTAATACCAAGTGCCCAAGTAGAAAGAAAATGTTTTGAGAATGATGATAGCAACAAATATACAAATGTACTTGACACAATGAATGGATGGATGGATTGTGATAATAGCTCTACTTTTTTATTATTTGTGTAAATATTCCCAAGCCATTGCTCTTTATTATCTTACCACCATAGTAATGTATTCAAGTAATTATTTTGATAACTTGAGGTTGTCTATTGGCATTACCAACTTTGCTTCAACTTGTGTTCCATTAAGGAGCCCCGGTGGTATTGTTGGGTAACTCTTGAACTGGTAACTGCAAGGTCAGTGATTCAAACACACCAGCTGCTTTGCAGGTGCAAGAGGAAGCTATCTGATCTTATAAGGATTTATAGTCTCAGAAGCCCTCCATGAGGTCGCTGTAAGTCAGAAGGGACTTGATGGCAGTGGGTGGGTCTCCTCCCATATGTTTCCAGCACAGTATCACGTCATTTCACTCCA